CCAGTGGCTAGTTAACAATTTTTAAATGCACACTTTCAGGCCTAATAGAGATCTGGGTGGCTCCCCCATTTCTCTGCTCTTGCTGTAGCAACTTTGGAGATCTGTGTTCCATGAAGAGCCACAGGTCGGGGAGAGCTGCCCATTGCGGGTGAGAAATAAACCACTGAAATATTAAATCACAAGGGTGGTGGTGGTGGCAGCGGTGTGTGTGTGTGTGTTTGTGTAGGCAGGGGGGTCTGTTTGTTGACTACAGCGGCTACTGAAGTTTTCTCTAATATAGTCGGCTTACAATTAATGAGAACAACCAGTGGTCAATGTTCCTCCCCTGAAGGGGGTCATAGGATATCCTACCTTTAACCTAGTTGCACAGGGGTGCCCCCTCTGGGTTTTTCATTAAGTTGTTAGTGGCACCATTCAAATCAAGTTCATGAACTTCTGGTGTTTGGCCCCAAGTGTCTCTGAGTGCTCATTTGGTTTACCTACAGTCTGAAGTCCCTGGATGGAGTAAAGGGTTAGGTGCTTGGCTGATAACTGAAAGATTGGCAGTTGGGAATCCATCCAGAGTTACTTTGCAAGGAAGGCCTGGCAATCTGATTCCAAAAGATCAGTTCTTGAAAGCCTTTGGAGCACAGTTCTATTCTCACACACAAGGGAGAAGTGAAATCAACTCCAAGACAACATTTTTGAAACACATACTTTAGTTCCAGACAAATGACTTAATTATGTCCAGGATGAATACTATGCACAACCAGTATCATTCGAAAGAATGAACTCTAGAAGAAAATTCCCAAAGGGATTTTAAATACATTTTGTACAGTGGCCGTATTATCAGAAATGGTGCACAGCTAACCAATTTGATTACATTTAAGAAAACAGCATTCATTTAGATCTGTATAGTGCATGGGGTTGCTATGAATCAGAACTTACTCAACAGTACCTAATAACAACAACTCTATTTTCTTTATTAAAAAACAACAGTTTTTTTTTTTTTTTTTTTAAATGCACACTGGGACCCAGAATTAAAAACACGTCTTTTCCTAAAGTCAGATATAGCAAAACCAAACCCAAACCCTTTGCCAATGCGTTGATTTGAACTCGTAACAATCCTATAGAACAGAGCAGAACTGCCACAGAAGGTTTTAAAAGCTGTAATCTTCACGGAAGCAGACAGCCACATCTTTCTCCCATGAAGCAGCCAGTGGGTTTAAACAACTGAGCTTTCAGTTAGCAGCTGAGAGCTTAACCACTGCACTACCAGGGTTCACAACCAATATCTGCTTCTTCATCACCTGCCAAGGGCCGTGATACGCATTTCCAATAAAAACCACTTCCACTGAGTTGATTCTAACTCACAGAGAACCCCATGTGTGTCAGAGGCCAACTGTGCTCCACAGGGATTTCAATGGGGTCTTTGGGAGCAGTAGGTTGCCAGTCACCTTCGGGTGGATTTGAACCATCAACCTATTGGTTAGCAGCCAAGTGCAGTAACTGTTTGCACCACTGGAAACTTGTGCTTAATTCTCACATTATCACCACTTAAGAGTAAACAATGGACTATGTATGCCGGACCAGGCAATACTTCTTTCTCTTATATATAAGTTTGGCAAGGGTCATAGCTAACTGAGAGCAAATAACATTAACAGTGGTTGCTTTTGTCTGGAATCCACATCCAGTTACTGTTCTGGGACTCCATGGCCCTTTGGTTTCCAAGACACTGATCCAACTGCCAGGATGCAGCATTAAGTACTAGACACAGTCTGACAAGAACAGTCCCTTCTATCTGGACATAGAAGGCCCTGGGGCACAAATGGCCTAAGTTTATCCTCAATGAACAGCTGTCAATCATTCAGGGGCGGGCAGTGGGACCCAGGTGGACCAATCAGAAACAGTCCTAATATTTTTGCTTGAACTACTTGGAACAAGACATTCCTTTATCACATTATTATATAATGAGAGACAGGAGACAAACAGAGCTCAGAGACCTCCAGTTTTGTTTTTCATTATTTCATAAACCCATTAAATGTAAGTGTCAACAGCTCCAAGTAAACACACTGACAACAGGACAATAGCTGCAAAGGATCAGACGCTGGTCACGGGAGGCATCACCACCACCAGAGAGCAGGACTGAGGCCCGAGTATCATGTCTGCTACTGGAAGATAGCATCCAGAAGGTTTTGATCTGCATCAGTGCTCTACTTAAGTCAGCTCTGTTTGCCAATCTTCACTGTGCCCCAGAAGGCAGAAGGGAAGCAATGCTGTTTCAGCTTCAAAACAGCATTGCCAAAGGGAACTACACATCTCATCTACATTTACCAATTTTCTGTCTGAGCACCCCAATGCCTCCTTCTTTCATGTTCATACACACACACAAAAAAGGAAGTTGGACAGAAAATGGGTCCTTGTCCCCTCTAGGCTGTTCTTAAGCTTAACCATCTCTTCTGTCCTAAAGCTAATTCATCTTTACTTTCCTTGTTCTGTAAGAATTTTCCCTCTCACATTCACTCTTGTGCCGCTGGCATTCAGACTTGGGTCAAAGCTCCTATATCCAGTCTACTGGATACAGTTTAAAGCTCGGGCCACTTTAAACAAGGCTTTGAATACATGTAACATTATAATTATACGAGAGAGCTCCAAAAGTGTGGGAAAATGGAATGAAAAGATAATGGAATATTTTTCATGAGCATTCTAGTAGTGTAATGAGTTAAGCATTGGACCGTTAACCGAAAGGTAGGCAGTCTGAGCCCAGCCAGCTCATGAGCGAAAGATAAGACAGTCTGATTCTTTAAAGATAGTTGACTTTAGAAACCCTACAGGGTATTTCTACCGTGTCCTACACGGTAGGTATACGTTGGAACTGACTTCACAGCAGCAGGTATGTATGGTACTACATGTACAGAAGTTTCACTACAAGAAGCATGCAGAAAACAAAATGATTTGAAGTGGCCCGCATCCCTGTCTCCGTGTCTCCCTGGTCAGGTCTCTCCTCGGCCACAGTTATTCATTTAGGAGTGGGTAAAGGGATTCATCGGGTGGGCCAATCAGCAACAATTGGCAGATTTTTGTTAGAATTACTTGGAACAAGGCATTTCCATACAAGGGGGTGGGACTGCGGTAGGGACAGGGCAGGGGGTGGGGAGGGTGTTGCTAAGCTAGAATCCCAAAGCCTGGGATAACTGTGGACTCCCTCTGCTTCAAGACAGGAGAGTCTGGGTCTGAAACCATACAGAACTGACCGAAGAGATGCAAAAGATGGACTTGAAGACTTTCCATGACTTACTTCTACATGCTCAGTTCAACCCAAGATTAGACAGCCTCCAATTTACCAATGGGCGCCAGAAAAACACTTTTCCTGGAAAAGGAATGGCACAGAAGTGAGGCCTGGGCTCCACGTTTAACTTGTGCTTACCCTAGCTGCTCTGTAGCTCTAGAAGTGCTTTAGCTCTTGTCAGACACTTAGGGATGCCTGAGATGACCCCATTCCTTTCTCATTTGTTTTAGGTTAATTGAGAACAGACCTAAGGACACACAGCCAATCTGGCAGACAACTGCTGGTTTCACCTTCAAAATGTGTTCACATCCAACGGCTACCCTTACTCTTACTATCACCTTCTTCTTGAACTAGTTCAACAGTCAAGTGATTCTGTTAAAACTGAAGTCAAATCATAACAGTCCTCCACTCCAAATCCTACTTATCTTAGAGAAAAAGGCCAAGTGTTTACAATGACCCTCAAGACTGACCTAACGTCCCTTTATTTCATTCCCTCCTGATGCTCTCTCCCCTTATTCCTATACTCTAGACACACGGAAGCTCCTGCCTCAGGGCCTTTGCACCTGCTCTTTCTTCTGCTTGTAACTCACCCCAGATAGAGTGCACTTAATTCCTTCCTCCTTTAGGTCTCTGCTCCAATATCACATCCCAGGGAGGCTGTGTTTGACTGCTGTACTTCCAGTGAAGCCTCACTCCCAGCTCCCATGAATGTCTCTCATCTTTCAGGATATTGTTTTCTCCACTACACACTTCATTTTGTTGTGGTGCTATAGGATCAGCACTAGACTGCGAACCACAAGGTCGGCAGTTCAAACCTACCAGCTGCTCTTCGGAAACCCCATACAGGGTTGCTATGAGTTGAACTGACTCAACGGACTTTGTAACAACAACAACCATCTTATTATGTATTTTATGTCTTGCTAATTCTAACATCTAAGCTCCAGGAACTGACGCGACAGCGCTTGACAACAACAAATGCCTACAAGGGTCTGGTTCACATACAGGGCCTAGAAAACAACTGAATGAATGGAAAACATGACAGCATTTGTCACTGGTGATGCTCATTAGAAAAACAACAGAATTTTCCTTGCCTCTGTCTGGGTGCTGAGAGAAAGCAGGCCTGCTGAGTAGGCCAGTCTAGCTCATTCGGTGGCTGTGGCTGAGACAGTGCAGTTAAAACCAAACCCCACAGAACTCCTAATGCTGAAACCCTTGGGAAGTCACAAGAATCAGTTCAAGACGATAATATAAGGGTGACGTACAATACGCCATTTTACATTTCATTTATTAAATGTTTTCCTACCAGCCAATTTAGTTTTTAAGAAAAGCCGTTTATTTTTTTTTTCCCCCCAGGTAAAAAGTGGAGATCATTATGTAGAGCCTGGTCTCAGAATCACTTGAAGTGCTGTGAAATTGATTAACTCATTTTGCAGAATTAGAAATGAAGTTCAAAGTGGCAATGGGGTGGGATCCAGAGAGGGACAGAGATGGAGTTGGAACCTGGATCTCATTGACTCCCAAACAAAAGCCTCTTTGGCCCCAAATCCCATTAGCTCACTCACTGTCTTCCTACAGACAGGAGAGACGGGTCTCCAGGTGGTATCGCTAAAAGCAGCCACACCTTTCTGAATCAAGGTCCACCGGCTTCCCGCCCCAGACATCTCATAGCAGCACCTGGCCAGCACCCCACCCCCACCGTGTCTCCTCTGTGGGTGCTTCCAGGTGTACTCACCTCCAGTAAATTAGCACAACAATCAGAAGGATGAGGCACACGAAGGTCAAGGCTGATACCACAATCAGAGGGATGATCCACTCCATCCTCCCTGGAGCAGGACGGCTTATCATTCCAGAGGTGTTCTTTTCTGCTGCAAAGAGAAACCATCCCATTAGAGGACAGAGCTGAGTGCAGCCAGGGAGCCAGCGCATGAGGCAGAGCTGGGCTCCAGTTCTGACCGGTTTCTGCAAAATGGGGCCACTTGCTCTGGACAGCCCTGGCACAGAAGCGGGTCACACTGCCTTTCTCACCTTTGCCCACACCAGACCTCTTCGGCAGCCTGCACCCTGTACCTGTCTGTGGTGGGGTGGATTTATAGATGGAGTTGAAAATGTTTTTAAAGCAGAGTTGTACAGAGAACACAGCCAGCCAGTCTCACTCCAAGAATGAGGGAAAGGGTTCAAGACAGAAAGCTGCACCAGACTCGGCTTCGGAGAAGGCCCAGGGGTGGAAAAGCCACCTTGGCTTCAGCTGGTATGGAGTGGGAGACCCTCGAGGGAGTGGGGTGAAACAATGAATTTACTAGGATTCCCACTTGTGGCTACCATTGTTATAATGTACCCTCGCATTGGTTCCGACCCATAGCAACCCTATATAGGGCTTCTGAGGAGCAGCTGTTGAGCTTGAACCATTGACCTTGTGGTTCAAACGGACTTTGCAGCCCAGCGCATTAACCCACAGCACCACACATAGCCACCTTTTTTTTTGGGGGGGGGGGCTTACTTAGAATCTATTTCCACTTCTAGAAACTACACCTTGATTCTGTTTGGGGGGGGCCACTCTCCCCTCACTAATCGATACAATCATGGTTCCTGACTGCCCTGGCCTAGCAAGGGTGGGCCTGGGACTAAAGCTAGGACACGGGTGCTCACCCACTCAGCTCCACCAGGTGGTCCTGCCACTGCTGCCCACCACCCAGACCCTCTGAGGACCTGTGTACCCCCAAATCTGGCTTCTGACTCTTCTACCAATCCCAGCACCTACCCTCAATTCATCCAGAGGCTCCAAGACAGCCAAGGACATGAAGCCTTGCTGTTGGCACACCGAACCAAACCAAACCAAACCATCTGATGCTCTCGGGTTGATTTCATCTCAGAGCAAGCCTACAAGATACAGTAGAACTGCCCTAGGATTCCCTAGGCTGTCAATCTTTAGGAAAGCTGACTGCCACAGCTTTCTCCTGTGGAGCAGCTGGTGGGCTCAGACCAACAGTCAAGTGCTGCAGCCACTGTGTCACCAGGGCTCCTTCCTGGTGTACGACCCCCTCATAATAGCAGCCATAAAGCACAGGTAAGAGGCGGAAGTGTGAGTCACAGTTCAGGAATTTCTGGGCAATGGAGGGCGCCTCTTACCTAAGCATTTCTTCCTCCGCTTTCAGGACCCGAGTATCTCCAGCAGCCCCAAGAGCCTCAGCAAGAGACCCTCGTTTCCCTTGTCCAGTGGGGCAGAACCCTGGGGATCTCCACGTGACCCACTGAAGCTCCGGTGCAGTGTGGGGCTGGGAACATCACTGATGTGCAGACGCAGGTATGGTTACAAGCGAGGAGAGAGCAAGGTTAGCTGCGGCCACTGGAAAATTGCACTCCCTCGTACAGGTGGCTGGCTGATCCGCTCTGCAGAAACCAGGCCAGCAGTCAGCCAGCCAGAGCGTCCTCCAGCAGAACAGGGGAAGCACAGGGCTCATCAGGCTGGGCTTCCAAGAGCCCGAGGTGGGCTGCACTGGAGAGAATGGGCCTTGGGAGGAGGTTTTTAAGAGGCCAGGTTCCCAGCTGAAGCAGGGAGCCACAGGTTCTTCATCAGGCCTCCCCCACGTGGCTTTTTGTCCCAGGTACAGACTTGTGACGCAGGTGGGGCAGCTCACAAACAGAAAAACAGTAGCAGGCAGGTGAAACACGTACATGTTGCAAACAACCACAACACAGCCCTTGACCATTAATTTATGAAGTGACTCCCTACTTAAGAAACTACTGTCCTGAGATACTCCTTAACCTTGCTCTTTTAAGAACTATCCATATGCCATCCAATGGACAACAGCAACTCAAAAGAATAAAACCACAGGGGGCAGTGAGGATGCTCTAATGGAGGAGGAACAAGACAGAAGAGGAGGGTAAGAATGGTCGCCCACCAGCGATTTAATAAATGTCACTGCCTCATATGTGTAGAAACTTGAATTGGTGTATGCTTTTTCTTTGAACATTCTCAACAAACTAAAACAACAAAAAAAGTGCCTTGCTAGCTTTCCTAGCCCACTTCCCTAGGCCCTTGGCTTTGAATTCTTCTACTCGTTTTCACTGGATGGATATTTGCCAAGCCCATGTGTCTGGCTTGGCATGATGCAGGGAGGTGGGGCACAGTAGAACTTAAGACAGAACCCAGTCCTATGGCTATGGGGTTCTTGTTGTTGCTATGTACCGTTGAGCTGGTTCTGACTCATAGTGACCCTGTATAGGGTTTCTGCGGAGCGGCTGGTGAGTGTGAATCACCAACCTTGCAGTTCAAACCGACCTTGAGTTAAAAGTGCGTATCCCTGGTGCCACACCAGGACTCCATGGCTATGTGGGAGGGAATTTAAAGGGGGGAGGTGGCCATTTGAACAAGTAACTAGAATAAAATGGATGTGACACCAGGGCTGATCCTAGCCCAGGACTGCACACACTCCCTGAGAAGGCTGAAAGGAAGTCAGCAAGGCCAAGTGTGGGGACCATGTTGCAGACAAAGAGCTCTGTAAAAGCCTCCAAGAGGCGGTTATAAAGCCCAAGCAAGAACATGGCGGAGAGATGGAAGTCAGATCAGCCAAGACTTTACTGGTGGAATTAACTACAGTAAATTTAGTCCTAAGGACAATGAAAAACTCTGGGTTTTAAGGCCTGGTAGACATGGCCGCTCCTCAGAAACCCTATGAAAGGTCGCTATAAGTCGGAACCAACTCAGAATGGCACTTCACAACAACTAACACATGGACCAAGTATGCATTCTATCCATCAACACATTGCTTTTATTGCAAAGCTCTGGAGACCAGCCAGGGAAACCAGTGGCAAACGAGAACAATTTTGGGGCGTTCCAGCAGGGGGCAGCCTAACCACACAATTATCTGGCTGGTGGGAGACTGTAAGACCTGAAAGTCTTGTTGATGGGAAATGTCAGGAGGGTTGACATGTGGCATAGGCCATATGTCCACCCTGAGAGGCCCCTGAGTACTGGAGGAACTCCCAGTATCTTCTTTCTCTCCATGTGTCCTGACAGAAAATGGTTTTTGCTTGCACTGCTTGATGGCAGGCAGATGGGGTGAAGTGGAGTGAACGGGAAGCTCTGATTCCCACTCATCCTAAAGCACTTTAGAGGAACCTTGGCCAAGACAGCCATTCACTCCTACCAGCTCTGTGGTATATCTTCCACCCAACAACCACTAAGCAGTGGTTACTGTAGAAATATTAGAGCCTTAGGAGTAACAGTCTGGTTGGGAGCTTCAACAACACACTACATCATGCCTGGAGTCTCCTCTACATCTCTGTGCTGGCAATTATGTACCACTCCCCCTCAGCAATGGCTGAGTGTTAGGGTTCAGAAAGGGCTGAACCACCAATGTGGGCTCCTCAGTGTCAGGGGACAGTGTGGATCCACAGAGACTTAGGGTCTGATGAAGTCTAAGTCACAGCTATTCCTGGGTCAGAGTGAGGCTCAAATTAAGTGTTCACAGTTCTGAGTCATTTGTCTTTGCATCATTTCATAATGCACCCAGAGAATTTTGAGAGCTTAAGTTTTTAGGGGGTGAATGCCATCTGAAACCCCATTTTGTACAGCCCTCAAATGGTAGTGTCTGTGGAGGAGGTGTCAGGCCACCATAACCTGCAGCTGGGAAGGAGAGCCCCAAGGACATGATCTGAATAGTCTGGCCTTGCAGTAATGGGCTCCAGCCCAACAATGGTGAGCATGGCGCAAGACCATTGGTTCTACTGTGTACTGGGTCCCTATGAATTGGAACTGACTTGATGGCACTGAACAACAACAACAAATTACATACAAGGGGCTTCAGAAAGTTTGTGGGAAAATTCTATTTTAATTCCATTTTGAACCTCCCTCATAGAGGTCAAGCAAAGGTATGATTGTGCCTGGATTTCCATGTGCAGCATGACAAGTTCACTGTACACCCAAATCTTCACTTAACATGGCTGCCTTCCAAAGACCAGGCCATTATGCACAGATCAGGGTTATGTGAAAATGGAGGTTGACCACATCAGATCACTTCATGCGGGATGCCTACATCATTACAAAACTGCCAAATTACATCACTACCTAACTGTCAAACCACTGAGAATCATGTCCCAGCTAACGTGACACATAACCTTAACTATCACAGCCAGTGTTACTCTCACACCTCGGCCTTGCCACTGCCAGACACTAATGTGCAAAACAGACAGATTTTTTATATTCCTGTCATAAATGTGAAATGTCAGATGAGACAGTTGATAAGAGAGGAGGAGGTATATTTTTTTTGTCTTCATGGTACTAGAAACCTGGAATTTCATCTCATCTCCACGAGACCATTCACAGGAAATGTGATCCTGTTACTGCCCTGCTTACAGTCCTTTTGAACCCCTCACTGTCCATATGAAAAGGGTGGGTCCCACCTCCCTCCATCAGCCCCCCCCCCAATTATTTTCTACAACTCCAGCCCCTGTTATATGGCACTGTATGATAAGCACTAGAACTCAAGGTCAATTTGAACAGCAAAGTGGCAGTTCAAACCTACCAGTTGCTCCTCAGAAACCCTATACAGGGTCGCTATGAGTCAGAACTAACTTGACAGCACTTAACAACAACAGACTAGAATATGAACTCTATGAGGACAAGATTGATTCTGCTTATTTCAGCTGGGTTCTGGTCTCACCTCTGGGCCTTTTCCCCTGATCCCACTGTATGGAATGCTTCCCCAGTCTTCTCCTGAATGCTCCTATTGTTCCCTCAATCCTGGCTCAGCTGCTACCTCCCCAAGCCTTAAGTCTGTGGTGCATATGGTGGACAACGAAAATTTAAAATTATAGGCTCAAATCCTGGCTCTGCCACTGTCTATCTGGGTGACCTTTAGCCAGA